TCAAAAGAAAATGATATTTCGATCAAAACCAATTCGGGTATTTTAATCAAAAAACTTGCAAAACCATATCGTTTATCGTTTGTCAAAAAGAAACATTCAACCCTTCCCCGCGAACTTAATTAAATATAAATTTCAGAAGAAAAATAATACGACGATAAGCTTAACGGAAAAGTTGCGAACACTTTTGATAAAAAACAAGTACAATTTAGAATATCGGATTCATACAATTGCTCTACAAACGTGGGTAATTATTTCAAGGACTTTTTAGTTTCAGTAATTAACGTTTAAGTTTGGTTTCATCAAAATGTATTAGGCATTCAACTGGGGAAAAGTCAATATTTGCCCCATGCTAAAAAGTCCGTTTCAAAAAAATATTAATTAAATACAAAGCACAAACATATTACGCTCAAACAGACAACTGTAAAGATCCATCCGCTTTCAGGCTTTGGGGGTTAAAAGCTTCCAAAGCTCTATTGAGGGTTATAAAAAACCGATTCACTATTTGCGCTGAATTTTGGTGATTCAATGGAGTAATGACTGATGAATGCACGCGGAAGGTGTTCTGTCTGATGCAGGTTCTTTCATTGCATTTAGACTGCAATCCGATGGTTTTTTCATCCTTTTCGCCCTTTGTGTTATTTGTAAATAAACATTTTAGATACGTAATACTAATTATATTTTTACGTCCGAATCCAAAAGCGCAAATGTTATATTTCGATTATTTGAATAGAGCTTTATTTTTTGTATTATTTTTGATTCTGTTGATGTTTTTTGAAAGTATAATTACACTGTTTAAAAAAGAAGTTATTTTTAGCATTAAATTGTTAGCTAAGTGCTCTTTTATTATATTGGTTTTCGTGTTTATTAAAGTTTCATTAAATCATTAAACATCAGCTGTATTGATGATGCGAGTCGAGAGCATTGCCATAAAATACTAAATAAAAAATGTTGGGGGCATTTGTAAGAAGTATTTTTTATGTAATCCACTTGAAAATATTTGACTTATCGTTTGGCCTTAAAACATAAGTTTATATATTATGTGACCTGACGAGATTAGTCCAAGAAACTAAGATCTTGTTTTGCTTCAGTACCATCAAAAATCTAAATCTTTTTTAGGACTGGGCCTCAGATTTCTGTATTCATGATCGTTTATCAATCTAATAATCACGCCATCGACTTTTTTGGGTCTAAGGCTCTCCCCTCACGAAGTTTTCCGTCACTGTTCGAGCGAATGCTAAGTGCGCACATAGAGTCCATTGATGCACAGGCTGGTATCGAACCTACCACCTCAGGGATGAGAGTCACACGCTGGAGCCACTAGGCAGTTGGATTTTGCATACCTTAATTTTTCTTTTAAGACACAACCATTACAGCGTCAGGAAAGAAACACTAAACCTAAATAGAATCCAATAAAACCCTATCTAATAAAAATAATCCGGACCAAGAATCAGTTCACGCCAACGATATAAACGGTGGTAGTGGGTGGAAGACGGCACAATCCCGCCAAATGGCTAAATTGATTTTAATGCAGCATCATCCTAGTTCCGCCTGTTTATTGCCGTCGATAATGCTGATTGATCGCTTTGTAATATTTAATAAAGACTGGATGAGTGGGATGAACAGTTGTTCAGTGGACAGACGCGCGAATTTGAACCCTGTGCAAGAAGGAAACGTCAGAATGAGAAAGATCTCATTTAAGTCAACTCACTTAGGGTCCTGCAAGAAGAGAACGTACCAATTAAAAGGCTGGCAATGCACTCGCGAACCTTTGCCCACCGATGTATTTACGAACCAATTCGACTGTTCTTGAAGAAGAGAGCGTACCAATTCAAAGTCTGGCAGCGCACTCTCGAACCTCTGCCCACCGATGTATTAACGAACCAATTCGACTTACTGTCCCTGAAGAAGAGAGCGTATCAATTAAAAAGGCCGGCAACGCAATCGCGAGCCCTCTGGCAATGTGAGTGTCTATGGGGGCGGTATCACTATACAGGTCTCCTGCCCGTTTGCCCCCTGTTTTATAAAGAAAAGACTAAACAAGAAAGAAGAATTCAACAAATGAGCAATTCAGAATGGTGACCATAAGTTTGACAACAATTATAAATAACTCATTATTATGACATTATGTTTATGTTCTTATTATATGACTTTATAAAAATTAATATGACATTTGCATTCCTATTTTTATATGGCTGATTGCTTATAATTAATCGATCTAGATGTATTTATTTGCAAATAAACTATTTATTTATCTGAGTTTGTAGCTATTTCCTATGAAATCTGAACAATAGAAAAAAAAGTGCGTGCGTAGAAAGAACACATGTCAGGAGTGAAACTTCCTTGTAAATTAATTATTACTAAGGTAAAAGCCCCAATAGATGATCATGTACCAGTATATGATCACTCAATGTATTTGTGTATCTATATTCACACTGTATACGTGCTAAAGATAATATAAATAAATAAAAATTTAATGAATTTAATTGTCATTAAAATATTAAGTGTCGAAAATAAATAAAAATAACAATTTTTTTTTAATTTATTGCTTCGATAATAAAAACACGTGGCATTTTAATTCACAATTCGTCATTTGAGATTTCAATAAATTATTTTGCATAAAATACTAATATTTCATAAATTCCCTTTAAGAAATTTTAATTTTAAAAATAGAAATTCTCAGTCGGTCTCAACCGCTCTCTCCCTTTTCTTCGACAAAAACGCTGCACATCTTCGTGACGTTCCGTGAGTTTCACTTCAAAAACCGTAAAGTATCAGACATAAGACACAAAAAACAAAAGGAAATAAAATAACCTCGAAACATCGAAGGTCGTAAACAAACGTTCCTTTAAAAATCATTAGAATTATGGATCCCTCATCCACGAAGCATGTTTTAATTAAGCACAACTGTGTTCTTGAGTGATATCGCTCGTAAAGCGTGATATTTATTTAGTGCAAGGATTACTCTTCGGAGTCGATCAATCATTCCATTGAATGTATCCTGTTTCCCTTCACTAGTGCTATCGGGATTCGATTGGTTGTCGATAGTTTTATATCGACATCGATTAATACGAAAAAGAGTGGCGGAGAGTTTATTGCCAGTTCTTCTCTTCCGTTCGCCCTTGATTTGAGAACTGGCAGTAAATGTAAAATTAGAAGCATTTAATGTATATTTCTTTTTTGAAGTTCATAAGTGTACATTGTGTTACCTATATGAATAAATGATTTTGACTTTTTTTGGCTCATGTTTCGCTTAAGAGGAAGAAATATAAGGTTTGCTTCTTGTACAAATAAATACTCCTGTTAAATTAAATACGAATAAATGCGTTACAAATAATTTCACACCATAAGTCACTGTAATTAATACATAGTGTACATAGTAATAATAAAAATAATTCAAAATTAATGAAAAGAAAATTGTAACAAATTTTTTAAGTTTGGCTTTAACGCTGGCAGGATTTTCTCGCTGTATTGCGATACTTATTCATTGAGCGAGGAAAGCACCAGCTCTGGGATCACGGGTACTATATACCAGGTGCCACCTTAAATCTTTAATTAGCGCCTGTGCACTTGAACTCGGCCCAAGAGACTCCAAACAAAGTTAAAGTTGCTATATATATCGCATCGCTATAAAATTTTTAAGTTATCGATAATTTCGAAATGATCGAAAAACACTGCACTAGATCTAGCCAACTGTCAAATCCAATTCAGCGATGCCCCCGCACATGTAATTGATTTATTGATCGTACGTTTAGATTCGATACGCGCGGGCGCAGGCAAGGTTACTGCATCCGCGGCTGCCCAGTTAACCGGGTGACCTCATACCACTACTCATGAGGGAATTTTGTAATGAGACGTATATTGAGCTGGGGTTACGGAAAGTAGTCAATTGCATTGAGGAATGGGTTTTCTCACTGCGTGACTTTGGTCAGTACAGGCCATAATAGCATACGAAAATTTTAGTTAGAATTTTGGCGTATTTGTGCTAAATTTTTTTAATTGTGTCTAACATGGGTTGGTAAATGGTTATTTTTTGAATTGTGTATTAAGTTTTCTCACATGGGTAGATGAATCGTTAATTTTTTTAATTTTGTGTATATATGCTCACATGGGTTCGTAATTCGTTATTTTTTGAATTGTGTATATATGCTCATATGGGTTCGTAAATCGTAATTTTTGAAGTTATACTTCTTTAGGCGCGTTATGAAAAATTTATGAGGGTGAAATTTTACAATGCGCGCGCACCTGTGACACAAAATTAGGAGGTGATATTAGGTGGCGAGCGAGATAGGAATAAGACAATCTACAAGTAAAAAGAAATATAATATGCGTGAAGTTCGTATGCCAAGAATTTTGAATGACCATAATGACATTTGTCATTTACCTTTTAAACAAATAAAGGAGTTTTAATTATTTTTTCAAAGAAATTTAGCAATGCTTTTTGAATTATATATAATCAGAAGTGATTTAAATTGAATATTTAAACCAATACTAATTAATATTTGTGAAAAACTGTGCTCATCAACCTTCTAAGTGCTTCATTACAATTGAGGTTAACTATCAGTTTGTATTATTATTATCGAGTAATGTTTTGATTAAAAATTACCACATTGTTTAATCAAAACATGTAATTTTTCTCTAGCAAATATAAGGACAAGAGACAAAAAACAATTGATGAATAGTGAAGTGCACTAAATTGAATACAAAAAAGAGTTGTCATCTTATGCTGTGAAACATCAAAAACTGAGGTGGAAAAAGCAATATTTTTAATAATGCCAAAGAAGATAACCTCACGGTACATAAGTACACGACCCTTTTTTTTGAATTAGGAATGTAATGGGTTTGTAAATCGTTATTTTTTGAATTATGTGTTTATATGCTCACTAAATCGTTATTTTTCGAATTGTATGTTAAATATGGGCACATTGAATCATATTTTTTGATTGTGTTCCCAGTTCCTTAAATATTTACTATGAATATTTTATGTTTATTAAAAGCTCAAATTAAGTTACCTCTTTTTCCTTAGCGGCTAATTCGTTCTCCAGATTATTCGTCTGATTGACAACTGGACTGCTCCTGGATGAATTGTTGTTACTCCTCGCAGTTGCCGCCATTTCTATCTTCTGTTCTATATCCTCATCAATGTCTGGGGATCTTCTTTTCTCTTCTTTGATATCTGGGCTGTAGTCTGGTATTCTAGTCTCTGATTCTCTTGCGGGTTCTATCGACCCATTGGTCTTTGGTACGGCGGCTTGAAGAGGAGTGGGGCTTGTTGTCGCTAACTGCTCTTTTAGAGTTGTCACCTCCTTTTCCGCCAAGGTAGCTCTCTGAAACAAACAAATTTTCATAAATGAGTGCTTTTTGAAGCTATAATGAGTTGTAGCATGAAACATGGAAGGTGCTAAATTTTCAATTACTACTTCTCAAATCAAGGGCGCAGATACGACGAGAAGAACTGGCAAGAGACTCCCCGCTACTCTTTTTAATCGAGTAGATTTTTGTTTACAAGGAAATTGTAAGGAACTGCTAAACTTCTGAGCTTTTGGAACAAGCTTATAATTGGCTAGGACTTTACGCATTTGGCGTCTAAGTTCGGAAACCGAGTCCACACTACACACATACCACAATGACACCGTACAGATAATATTAAAAATAAGATTAACGTGTTTATTCTACTATATTTATTAACAGCAGAAATTTAATAAAATTTAAATTTATAATTAGCAGAAAAACGCTTTTCACAACTTGCATCAGTAGCTTTTCGCGACAAACACTTGCAAGACAGTATCTGATGTTTGCATAAAAAAGACCGTTGTTTTTCAGCAGAACAGGAAGCATCGATTCGGATTTCCACGTGTTGTTTTTAATCTAATTAATCAGTTCCCATAGTTTTATTCTTGTGGCCGGTGATGTAGAATCCTTTGTGCCACTTCCGGTGGTATTCATTCATACATTTATTATCTCCCGATCTCATTGAACGGATGCACTGCTGATTATTGGCCACTACATAATTCCCAGCGGATTGTTTTATTCGTTTTAATTCGATGGTCTAGCTGATTTCACGATAACTGCTTTATTGGTATTAAACCCTTCAAAGTGTTACAGTAGATGTGTATAGACAGGACATAATATAAACTTTAGTAATAATCCTATGAAATGGACAAAAATAATTACAGAATGGCAACCACGCGATGGAAAAGGAAAAGAGGAAGACAGAGCAAGAGATGGGCAAGCGATAAAAAGAGAATAGGAGGCACAACTTGGACAAGAAGAGCTTACATCAGAAAAAAATGGAAGCAGCTGGAAGAGGCCTATGTGTCACAGGACACACTGATTACCAAAAACGGGTCATATGAATAGAAGTTTTATAATATAACTTAAATAAGTGTCAATATATTATACTGGGTGTCAGCAATAAAGGCTCAATAATAATAATAATCCTATAGGCATTTGAATGTATTTGTATTTGCGGATGCTTGGCGAACCCATGCGACTTCTTCGGTACAAAAACTCCCCTTGGAAGAGCTTCGATATCGCGGGCTACTCGATTGTGAGGAAGTTGCATGGATCTGGTCTGGTGCCTTCTTAAGTTCTCATGTTATTTTCACACGTGTATACCCTTTATCAAAAATATTTTGGTAATTTTTGAGAACAAGAAATAATGAAATTGCATAATTTGTTTTATGTAAATTTTTTGGGTCACTGAAGTTTCTAGGCAAAAGTATATTAGGCAAGCGTTTGGTATGCCTGGATCAAATCCAGGAAGAATGTTGTTGAGAATGATGAAAGTTGGAGAGAGTTGAGGTTCGTAGCAAGTAGAGATCAGGATCACCTTTAGGAAAAAGGCGTAAAAATATAAATAAATAAAATCTACGGAATATTCATTTCGCATGTCTCTAGGACGATACGATCTTAGAAAGACTTCGACTGTTAATACTTAATCATTAAAGAAAGCAAATGATGAAATTAAATTGGAAACGCACGCGTGACTCGACACGCGTGGTAGAACAGGTAGATAGCATCAGGAGCTTATTAGTAGGGGAAATTTTAAGTTCCAGTCGAAGGGTGTATAAGAAAAATGCCTACAACTGTTTATCAATCATAGATCCCAATAACAAGATTATTGACTGTTAGGAATTGGAAATGCATATCTAATATATAAAATTCTCGTGTTGCGGTGTTTGTTGTTAAACTCCTTCGAAACGGCTCGACCGATTCTCATGAAATTTTGTGTGCATATTGGGTATGTCTGAGAATCGGACAACATCTATTTTTCATCCCCCTAAATGTTAAGGGTAGTCCCTAAATTATATTTTTTTTAATTTTTAGATATTTTTTTTATGATACAGCATTACTTTCACCCCTCTACGATCTACCCCTATTTTTTCATTATAAAGGATATACATGGCAAAACGACGTTTGCCCGGTCAGCTAGTTTATTTATAAAAGCTTGCCAGTATATTGGTGTACAGTCGGGGATCGAACCTACTACTTCGCACGTTTAAACTAGGCCAACACAGCTCAAAGATTACCCAAAAGAAACACAAATTATGATCCATTAAACAAACCTGTCCGATGACTCAGATAGCAACCAAAGTCATCCATCACCCAATTGACCAGTTAATCACATTACGTAAGACAATAACATCACCATATTATCGTCAATGATACCATAGATAAGTGATTTAGTGAAGAATATCACTCTTACATCATAAATATGCTGCAGCTTCTTTTGTAGTGTTTAATTGTTTGGGTTTCACTATGTTTTTTTAACAGGGGCTAACGGCCTCACCTGATGTTAAGAGATAACCGCCACCCATGGACACTCAATATCAGAGGACTTGCGTGGGCGGCTTTTTGAGAATTGGTAACGCTCGATTTACGTACGTAATTACGTACGAATTGGTTCAGAAATACTTCAGTGGGCAGCTGGTTTCACATAGTGGTGGTGTAAAAACGCTTAGTTGTGGAACGACATTTCGTCATTTGTGCCTCGTCTTACAAGCAAGTGCTGCGTAGAAACAAATGTCAATTTAGTCTGTAACTACTATTGACACTACTAACTAAAGTGTACCTAATAGAAGATACTAAAACTCTACGCCGCTTAGCTTAAAGACTTAAAGATCTGAATAGACCTGGAAGAAGAGAATGTCGGAATCTTAAAAGGCTTACTTAATATACAGAAGAATTGTTTTCCAACAATACTCTTATGAATAATCGTTACGTACGCATTTTAATTGCGAAGAAATTCAATTTTGTTCCGAATAATTTTATGTTTACAACTAGAAAGTTAGAAACTTCATAATGATTAAGAAAGCCAAATTAAATAGAGGGAAAATCAACAGGTTTCATTGTGTGAACTTAATAAAAATTCCGAATCATTAAAAATAAACAATCTGAAATCAGTTAGGATGACACCATTCGCTCAAAATATTTTAACGTGAGAAAATAATTACAATGAGGAAAGTGAGACATTGATTTATATTAAAATAAAAAATAAATTAGCGCCACAACCTTTTTAGGGCCTCAGATTTCTGTATCTGTTTCATGATCATTTGTAATAGGCAAGAAGGTGATCAGCCTCCTGTGACATACGCCGACTTTTTCGGTCCAAGGCAAGTTTTACTTACGATGTTTTCCTTCACCGTTTGAGCAAATGTTAAATGCGCACATAGAAAGGAATTCATGCACAGCCGGGGATTTTCTGGTATGAAAGCCGCACGCTGAAGGCACTAGGCCACTACTATCGATTTATACTAAATAATTTTATATATTTCCATTCCCTAACTATTTAAAATTATTATTTAAGTCTTATTATAAAAGAAATTTATAAATTTTAAAAATATAGTATTTGTAAAGATATAACTCGATATTTTACTACATATCTGAGGGTAGCATAAAGTACATGATTGCTATAAAAGTTGTTTTTAAAATTCATCTTTGCTAAACAATTCAATAATTCAAACAAAATTCAAACAATACCCGCACAAACAATACAATCTTTAATGGAATTTTCAAATTAATTTGTCTTTGGACTGTCAATCGATTGACCGATCCGAAATTTATTCATTATGAAATCTACTTGTTGTTAGTTCGTAGTATATTTGCCTTTTATAAGTTCCTTTCGTAACTAAATTTAATGTGTTTATAGAATAGGAGACCTTATTGCGTGTGGCTAAGCCAGAATATGAGAAGATTGTGGCTTAGGCAGAAGCTGAGAAGTCTACTGCGACAATCGCTTAGTCCCCACGTCATGGTAGAGTTATTTAATTAGAAGTTAAACAGACGCAAATAATTCAAGGCTATTTAGGTTTTAAAGGTTTTATGAGTACCGTAAAACTTAACAGGAAATCTAAAATCGTAATAAGCAGATTTAGTAATAAAAATGAAACAATGACCGGAGCCAGGCAAGTGTAACGAATAACAAAAACAGTTTTAATCAAAAATTATGATTTGAAAGTCAGTTAATGGACATTCAAAATTGACCATTACACTACCGACTTAAGTGGTAATTAAGTCCTAGTTCCGAAATTTAACAAAGCAACTTATCTATTGAAACCATCGCTTATAAAACTGTTTGAGCAATAGATCAGTGTATGATCTCACGGATAGGGCTGCCTCAATAACTAGAGCTAATGAACTTATATGAATTATAAGTAGCCAAGTAGCATTCAAAAGTGTAGGGCTGTGTTAAAGTAATAGACAATTCGAGAGGAAGGTGTAGACGATTATTATAACAATACGAGGTAGAAATCGCGTTGTATGAGTCATAGAAAAGATTTTTTGGATCAATTAAAAAACTAGGAACACAATTGACAACACAAAGGTACGTAAAACTTATGGACTTGAGAAATCATTATAAATTTCACACTACAGAAATATAAATTGAGAAATCTCGTTATAGGGGAAATAGCGCGTTATATGGAGGACAGAAAATCGCGTTATAGGCGTACTGTGTTAGTAATTTTACGCTGAATATATCCCAAATAATACTGTAAGAAGATTTTATATACAGTATTTTTTTATTGAAGTTTACCACATATATATTATTATCTTTACAGTATATGTTACAAGCTATATTTTCTAAACTATATAAAACTTTGGTAAACATAGGTAAATGTTACAAAAATTAAAAAAAAACTACCAGAAATTTTTGTTAATTTGCTGATTGTTAGGTAAAAAAATTACCAGCAAAAGAGCGGATTAATTGAAAGATTATGCTTTCTTTAAAATTGATCAGTCCACTACCGAATAAGTGCTGTTATTCCGTTATTTATCGAGAGAATTACAAAAAACACTTTGCGGTCACTAAGTTATTATAAGTTTAAGAGAAAAATACTCTTAGTAGGGGATATTATCAAAATTTGGACATCCCTACCTAGTTATAGCGGTT